TTTCGATATAGATTTGTCCCTAATTAATTTAATATTAATTATTATTCTGCGCAGTGTTTGAATTGTTATCGAAGACGCCATTGGTTTTTCATTAATTACTATCCTCTACGCAATTAATTTATGAAACTTTATGCACTCGTTAGAAAGACAATGTTCTTGCGAATCTTCTCATATAACTTTTGATCACATTTTGCTTCTAGTTTCGTTTAGTAATAAATATTTTCACGGAAGGTCGTGATGGTCGCCGTTACGAAATCATAGACGCCATAAAGCAAAAATTAATAACGAACAATTTAGAACTAAATTCTTTACGAAAATTATATAGGAATCTAGCCTGAAGTTCCAGCTTTGCAACGAAGTTATAAAAGTTCACAAATTGTTTACGGAAATTGAGTAATTAATAATTCTTCACTGCCGGAGCTGTTCTGTCCTTCTCTATCAACTATCTATCCTTGTCTGACTTGCAGAGCTCTACGACGACCTCCTTACGTATTCTGTGTTCCTATCACTTTTGGTGCATTTGGAGCCAAATAATAGATGGCGCTGATCGAAAGAATCAGAGAATCAGTGCCGCATCAACGAGTTGTATTGAGAGTATATTGTATTTATTTATTGATAGTATTCTATATGATATCTTATTGCACATTATGTATGATATTTTTCTGCACATTTTAGACATTTTTTTTTTTTTTAAATTAAAAACAATATAGCAATTTCGATTACGGATTCGTGTTCAGGAACGTAAGCTCCAGTAGAATTGCCCGATGAATATATTAGATTAAAATTTGCGTTGAACAGTAATATTTTGGCATTACTTCTAATGAGTTTAAAATATTATCTAATTAAAGATTGGTGAAATAGGAAGAGAAATAACAAATACGTTTTATAACAATTGTATTAATATCATTTATGTACAATGTATACATGGCAATACAGAAAATTAATCTGCAAGCCTAATGCATGATTATAATACATGAGTGTTATCAAGTTGAAACCACTTGTTAGAATATTAATATGATAACCACAGTGATAGAAAAAGAGAATACACTTATTGGAAAAGTTCCTTACTAATTAAACGTACAGTGTAATTTACTATAGTACATTCATAAATATGTTAAGTTGTAAAACTGGTATTATAATTCGCTTATTATTTACGTTATCAGTGTACATCCAACTAATACGAGTTCAACTATTTAAGTACATCATCAAACGCTTTTTAATCCTAAATATAAAGATTGTTTCTCATAATTTGTATATTACATTAACGTAACGCATAAAAAACATATTTTTATGTTAATAGTTATGTACTTTTCTATATGTACAAAGCGACAGATAAATCAGTAAGTTCTGTTAAAATAATGGCAGCTTTATATCTGTAACGTATGCGTTAAATTAATGTAAACGTTTAAAAATTACTGTCTGATATAAAAGTACACCTGTATGCTCATGTATAAAATAAACTCTACATATTCGATAGTTCATATTTTAGATTATACAATATATTCTTATTCTGTTCTTCCTATTATATATTCAGATTTATTAGTAATTGTCATGGTTACTAGCTAATGCAGCATTTTGCTCGTTGCACCCCCTAATCCTTCTAGTCAGTGCTTTAAACATTAAAACAGACCTAATAGCATTAGTTAAATAGAATTTGAATACGTTAAATAAATTTAAGTAGCATTCTGTTTGGTTCTCGTTATCTATATATAACGAATTACACGCAGATCTATGAAACATAACATTATAATCTATAATTAATAATAAAATCTATAAATATCATAAAATCTACCTTGCTTCTCTAACTTACAAATAAACATAACTCTGAAATGTACACACATTATAGGAGCATATAATAATAACTGGCCGCGGATAAAAATGAAAATGTTAACTAAACGTTAAATACAAATCTGATCGAGACATTCATCTACTGTTAACAGAACAATGTAACAAATACGCTTCTTTTTCAATACATAATTATTCATCTGATGTTAATGACAATTTAGAAAACACAGACACCTAACACGTTTCATATTCAATTCCTTGAAATCTTAATATCAGTCTATCCACTATTTATCCATCCAAAGGAGATTCTACTACTGACTTTCTTGTACTACTACATTCTATTTCACTTTTATCTAAAATATCAATCTTATTAAAAATAAGCGGAATACAGTTTGGCGGAACCTCCTCTCTAGAATCTTAACATATTAATACCTTATATTTCCAAACTATATATCCATACAGTTCGCTATCTATATATAATAAATACGATAATAAAATCGTCCTAAAATAATTACTATCGTTGATGATCTATTACTACAAACGATACAAGCTTCCATCAAGGCACTGTTAGCGTATAAACGAGTACTTTTAACAATAATATTAACGTTTCGACCCTTTCTATAGATGAGAACACTTCCATTGGTAACATTTTAATCCTATACGATCCGAAAATCGAATATTCCCCGCCTCGCTATTTCTATTATTACATTTTTCTAACGTTTTACATAACATTTCGTGGTTCGATCGGATCGTAAAGTTCGACGGATACTATTCGTTGTTCGAGGCAATATTCTTCATCGTTCGTATCGCGTGCTTGTGAGTACGATCTGTCCTGATTCTACGGCAACATGGATCTCAAGTCTCCGAGTCCAAGTCGTGGTCCCTTGGCTTGCTCTTCTTGTACTTCTTCTTCTTCTTCGGTTTCGGCATGACCTCGCAGCTGCACCCACTTCGCACCTTGATGTAATCCAACGTCCACATCGATCCACCCACCGTGTTCCCGGCAAACGTAGGGATCATGCGTTCTCTGTGCCGGTGCCTCCCATGTTCTTCCTTTCCGCCCTGTCGGTAAAACATACTTGTAAGTGTCATGTAAAACATCCTGAATATTTCTACCAAATTTTTATTACAATTAAACTAATTGATCGTGACTAAAGATGCTTCGTTTGACAAATGCCTATGAATTTTTCTCAGGAAAAAGCCACTGGGAAAGCTAAGAACGATTAGCTTGAGTACGAGATATATGAGAAATATCGAAAATCGAGTGCTTCTTTATTTCAAATATATCTCAATTATACTCACAATATAGAGATTCGGTTGTCAGTTACAGAGAAGCATTCTTTTACTCTCAAACGTTGCACATAAGAATCGAAATTCCTACTTTAACCACGGTCAATTACAATTTAGCCTTTTGAGCGCTAACACATATGTATTCAACAAAATCGTTCACCATGGGCTATGAATGCATATATGGGTTCTAACACAACCATTCAATCTGAGTTACAAAAGCATACATGCTGATGCTTAGCACACGTTTAACGTCGCACAACTCAGCGTTCAAAGGGTTAACAAATTTCATTTCTAATATTACATAGACCTCTAAGAACATACATAAATTCATATAAATTCCTGACGTCGAATCGATAATCTCAATCAACGCTAAACCTATCAGGATACAAACAATGGTTCCTAAACTTTTCGTTAAGAAAATGCCTGTCTTCGCAATTCTTTCTCTTTTAATTTTTCCTATTTTATCCCTTCGTCTACCAAACGCGTTAACAAACGCGCGAGAGGACGTAGCTAGAGGAGTAGGCGCAGAAGAGTCTAACTGAGAACTCGCTCGGACATTGCGCCACGTACCGTCGATCCAGAATTTTCAATGATAGCGTAAGTGTACGAGAACTTCTGCACACATCTGGACTGGTTAGTGAACTTCCGGTCGATGAACCTGCACGGCTTGTCGAGGACGTCTGGCCTGCAGGAGTACTCGAAGAACCTCTGGGCGTTCTGGTCATCCCGATACAGCTGGACGTACATGTTTTCCCGATTTCGACCGCCGACCGGTTCCACCATTTCCTCTACCGTAGGGCAGCAATCGACTGGCAGGCCGTCCTCGCCTCCTTCGTGTCGCAGAATCATGTTCATCTCTCGATAAGTCATCCGCTTGGTCGTGTCCTCCAAGGTCTGCGTCCTGAAACGTTCGAAGATGAGATTCAGACGAGGTTTCTGCCATTTTCGCGGTTAGATCTGACGGAGATATAACGCGTTCGGATCTAACCTCGATCGATGGGTATTTGAATGGATACTCGGAAGATGTCGCGACGTCACTGAGGAGGTTAGGTTAGGTAGGCAGGAGAGGGGATCGGATAGAGGAAAAATGGAACTGGAGGGATCATATTGGAGAATATGACATTCCATGAGTGTCATACTCGGAAGATGTCGCGACATCACTAAGGAGGTTAGGTTAGGTAGGCAGGAGAGGGGATCGGATAAGGGAAAAATGGAACTAGAGGGATCATATTGGAGAATAAGACATTCCATGCGTGTTCAAATGATACTAGAACGATAGAATGCGGTGTAGAAGTGGCGAAAAAGCCGCTCCCGAACGGATAATTCGCCGCTAATTCCGTATTCACCCGGCGAGTCTCTCTCGCGAGTCATTAATAATAATTAAGACAGTTTGACAGACAGGATAAATGATGGCGTAGCGTCGAGGCGCGTTCGGGAGATATACGGGCGCCACGGTTTGCTGATTGAAAATTGAAATTCAGCCGTGCAAAATAATGTCAACCGCCTTGTCGATAAATTTGCGAGCGCGGTGCCAAGCATGAACGATGCCAAGGTATTTCGTCTATCGCGTGATCGATCTTGCTCGGCGAACAGGTGGTAGCCATTGTCGAGGGAGCGTTTGTTGACACGCGGAGAAGAGAGAGGGGGGTGACGGGGGAGCGGATGAAAGTGAAAACTTACCAGCGAGAGATATGTCCTCTGAAAGGATGTTCCCTGGCCTTACGAGAGGAGAAGGATAAAGTCAGGTTGTTGGCGGCAGCAAGCCGCGGGCACAGGACTGCGGTCAGCCAAACCACCTGCAAGACAGAAGAAAAAGTTGAATCTCTAATTTATCGCCGGTTTAGCTCGATGAAAGTGGAAATCATCGAGTTTTTGGAAAGCCTTCGATATACTTTGCGCGACAATTGCAGTCGGTCGCAAGGATATTTCGTGTATATTTAATTTTTGTATTCGGTTTTTGAAGAAAATGTACTACTGCACGTAACAGAGTATAATTTTTAGGCTTCGATTAAATGTATTTTGGGACAAACAAATTATATTATTATATTATTATAAATTATATTAAACACATTATACTATTACAAATTATATTATGCTATAATCATGCACAATTTTTTTTTTTATTGTAACTTATTTTATATTCACCCTGTTGAGGATTTTTCACTTCTCGTACCAGGTAATTGAATGAATGATTATTATAGCGTGAACAAAATCATTTTATTCGTCACAAACGATGGTGTAGATAATGGAAAAATGAATTAAAATGAGGGTAGTTTACAGATCACAAAAATATTCAGGAAATTACTCATTTAAGTTAAAATAAGTAAATCAGAAATTTTTGTAGAATTTAAATATTAGATTTATTATTCTCTTCGCAGCTCAATACATTTTAATCAGTTTAATGAAAATTATTTCATTCGTCACAAACGTTGGTGTTGCTAATGAAAAAGGAATTAAAATAAGGGTAGTTTATAGATCACAAAAATACTCAGAAAATTACTCATTTAAGTTAAAATAAGTAAATCAGAAATTTTTGTAGAATTTAAATATTAGATTTATTATTCTCTTCGCAGCTCAATATATTTTAATTAGTTTAGCGCGTTAAAAATTATTTTTAATTAACAGAGTACTACATATTTTTATCTATTTTTATTCTACACTAATTTATTTATTTATATTTCTCACTTGATGGTCCCATTTCGTATTTTGTATTTGAAATAATACCGAAAATTATGACTCAGTATGAAACTCGTTATTTCCATTTGATAACCTAAACTTGCATCATGTACAAGGGCGAAGATTAGTATATTAATTCTCCCTTCATTTTATATCGACACAAAACCTACCAGGATCGGTCAAATAACCGGAGAATGAAAAATTAAAAGAAAGCAGGACTCAAAGAAAATATAACAAAAGAAGCTATGCAAAAATTAATCACACGTATATCGGTAGAAAAATCGCGAGATCGAGTGAGCGAAGTAATAACACAGAATTTAAGCTTCGAATAAAAAATTAAAAAACGGTGATTAATTTATCGAGAATTTTTAGTGAAAAACATTTCACCACCGTCGACGTTGACGCGATAATACGATCCCATCCGCGGCGGTGTTTTACAATTTCATCGAACTACTCATTGAGCAACGAGCGTGCATAAATCATTGAGCAACCAGTAGTCGAAGAAGGAAGCAACCGGTAATCTTTCTCTCGAAGCATCGATAAAATTGAATTAAATAGCTTACAGCGGCGAGCGAATCGCGCTTCGGCGATCCGGCTTCTAATTCCTGGCGACAAGATATATTCCGCAATTAAGCCGAAAGCGTGGAAGAGGGGGCGCGAGGGGGTTGGCACGGAGCGGAGGCGAACGCCGAGAGGCCTGTTTTGCATAAAAATTATAAGCCGAATTAATGTTTTCACCTCCGTAAATGCGTACCCGTGCTCATGTGCACTTCGCGTCCGATGCGTGACTAACATAGTGGTTTATTGCGAGTTAATACCGATCCGGTACCACCGGTACTTTCTCACGAGGTGGCTCTCGACCCGCCCTTGCGACGTGCTCAGCCTCTATGGAACGCGGTCATCGTGTCGTGCCCAAGTTTTTCCTCGTCTTGTCAATTTGTACTGTTAAATCTCGCTAATTAATTAATTAAATCGAGCGAAAGAAAAAAGGAAACGAAAATGGAGCTCGTAAAGCATGCAATGTTATTAGTTAGGGGTAGTACGGTTATTAATTTCGTTGCTCGGTGCGAGAGTCATGTCGCGTGAATTTCACTGATTTACTACTGTTTATATGTACACGTATTTATTTTATTTATTTATTTAATATTTGTACGTCGATTAATTTTATTGTTTTAAATGGAGCAAGAATCGTATGATAATTAGCTGGGTATTAACATTTAAGGAGGATTTTTAAGAAAATTTTTCTCCTCTTTGTCTGACCCATTAATTGATAAATATTAATGAATAAAAGTAGGCTATTTTTAGTATATTTTAGTGTTAGAAGTGTGTCCGTGTCTAGGTCTGTCTTGCTCATGAAACAATTTACTTTACTATCGAGAAGACCCACATGTTACATTCTTCGAATATCAACAGAACATAAATGGAAGTATTAAAACAAAATTCTCTTTTGTAATAAAAATTCGACAATTTCTATAAAATATCGAAGAACCAGGTAATCTATAAATACACCTAAGGTAATTTAATAATTTATTGTACCCTTTATCCATTCGGAGTACTCTATTTAGTGAACAGGCTACCTCAACGTGGAAATTTTCTCAGTCATACTGCACAGGCTTCTCCAAAGTACAAAGTACCATAATAGTCGGGCAATCTTTTGCAATAATTCAATATAAATCTACATTTAAGGTAACTCAATAATTTGTTATACCGATAAAATTAAAGTTAGACACCCCCTATCACAAGTCAGCCTATTTGGGGTTCTCTATTTAGAGAATAGACTATCTGGATATGAAAATTTTCTCAGTCAGATTGTATAGACTTCTCCAAAGCACAAAGTACCATAATAGTCAGGCAATCTTTTGCAATAATTCAATATAAATCTACATTTAAGGTAATTCAATAATTTGCTGTACCGATAAAATTAAAGCTAGACACCCCTATTCCAAGTCAGTCCATTTGGGGTTCTCTATTTAGAAAACAGGCTATTTGGAGATGAAAATTTTCTCAATCACACTGTATAGGCTTCTTCAAAGTACAAAGTACCATAATAGTCAGGCAATCTTTTACCATAATTCAATATAAATCTACATTTAAAGTAATTCAGTAATTTACTGTACCAACAAAGTTAAAGCTAAAGATCCTCTACCCCAATGGTTCTCTATTCAGCGAACAAGCAATCATAAAAGGACACACCCATCTCGAGGTCGAACTTTTCTCACTCGCGCTACTCGTGTACCTCCAAAGTACAATCAAAGTACCATAACCGTCAGCCGACCTCGTACCGTAATTCCACAAGGCAGCCTAACCCTTCTCTTCAGAGTCTCCTGATCGCGCAAGCACCAGGCTGCCGCCATGGCGTTTATCTCGTTCCTCGATCGATCTTCCCCGACGCATGTCGCTAGTCGTTAGGTACCTCGCCTCCACACCCTCCTCTGCTTCCATGTCCAACGAGGACAGCGGCAAATTAGAATTTCAACAGTGTCGCTCACGTTGATCTCTCTGTCCCGCGGTGTGCCCGGACCACGTTTAGAATAGCGAAGGGACAATCTCGCTTTCCGGAGATTTATAGAAATGGGACAATAAAAGATAGTCGGGCACTCGTGTCGCTTAATTAAGCCATCGTCCCTCGGGGTTGACCGGTTAACTAACTGGCGCCTCCCGTACTCGGCGTCGCGATGGGGCCCAAGACGCTCTCCGATCGGCCGGATGTTCACGCACAACGGACCACACACGGCGAGTTCTCGGATCCTTATCGGTTTGTTGCCTCATCGTCGGCCGGCCACCTCTCACTGGCAGCGCGATTTTAATCGATCCTTATACGAAACGCGTCATGCACCGAGACCACGACAAAGACCTAACGATATTTATCGCTGATTGCCGGCTCTCCAATGAGATACGGGAATGATCGTCGCCGAGGGAACGGTGCCTCTAAAGATGCACGCTTCGCATACGCGCGTGGGAGCAGGAATTTCAGATACTGCGCGAGCTGCTGCAAATTACGAGGAAGCCAGTGTTAAGAGTTACAGAGTTCGCCGAATTTCGACAAAATGCACGCTTAGGGGGGTCAGGGTTATCTTCTTGGGCGACGTGACGATACGACGATTTTATCCTCTTTTCTTAGAAAAGTGCACACTCGGATGCTGCTCTGGAGATCTAGGGTTGTCTCCATTTTACGACACGTGGATTTTTTGAATTATAAATCAAATAATTGATCTGTGGGGATGTAATGGTCTATATGAACATTTGTAAAACTGTCAATCAGAATTCCAATCTCGACCTTATCCACTTTGTCACCCACCTTCGTGAATTTTCTCAGAAAAATACATGCCCAGACGCTCTAGGGGTCTAGGGTCATATCCATTTTACGATACGTGGATTTTTTGAATTATAAATCATATAATTGGTCTGTGGGGATGCAATGGTCTACATGACCATTTGTAACACTGTCAATCAGAATTCCAATCCCGACTTTACCATCTTAGTCACTCGTTTTCGCGAATTTTCTCGAGAAAGTGCACACTCAGACGTTCTAGGGGTCTAGGGTTATCTCTACGTTACGTCACGTGGATTCTTTGAATTATATATGATACAATCGGTCTCTGGAGAAGCAAAGGTTTTAGGATATTAACGTTAAATGGTCTACATGACCATTTGTAAAACTGTCATTTAAAATTCCGTGCTCAATTTTATCGTCTTAGTCATTCGTCTTAACAATTGGTCTCAGAATAGAGAGACTTTCTTCCAAGATTCTACTGCTCTCACGTTGTTTGATTATAGCAAGTTTAGTGGTAAGCGAGATTTTTAGATAGTCAAAGCGTGCCTAAGTCCTTCATAGATGAGTTTTAATTTCTTTGTAGTAAGATTCGTGGTAAGGAACTCGAACCGAACATAAACATAACGTTCGAGAGACGTGGTTCTTAGACAGAGCTCAACATAAACACCATGGGTTAGACTTATGATCAATTTTCACCATGTCTTTCTGTCTCACTTCCGTGTTATTCTTCGATATGCTCGGTCAAGATTGCTCCACGTGTGACCGACCATGCTGCTCACTATGGCACGCGCCATCGGAAGTCAAATGGTAAGCCAAGGGGTTAAGATAGAAACTAGAGGAAGCACA